CACAACTGAGCTATATCCCTGCACTCATGGTTCCTCTATATACAGTTACCCTTTGACTGGAATGCTGAGTCCTTGTCCTTCCTCTCACCTCTACTCCTTCCTCCTCTCCTTCTTTCTTTCATTCACCAAACACTGAGTGGCTCTAATGCAGCTGGCATTGATGTCCGGTTGGGGAGACACACTGGAGGGAGGAGATAACACTGTACCTGCTTTGTGATGCTTTTAGATTTGAGCATTCATGTCCTTAAGCTCACAAATCAGAGTTCCAGCTGTCAATGATCAGCATCAAGACAGTAGGCAACAGGAAGCTAGGGTTCTGTTTAACATTAGGTAGAAGTCAGGGAGAGCCTCCCAGGCTAAAACCTAAAAGTCATCAGGAAATGCATTGCAAAGACTCAAGGGTGGACTGTGCTGCTCCAGGAATAGGTGGGGGCCCGGTCTCAAGATAGGAATTCCCATGGCCCTTAGAGAAACAAGAGACCAGTCTGCTGCCGAGGGTGGATGGGTGGGGCTGCAGATTAGGCTAGGAGGTCAGGGCCAGATTCTGAGTTTACTGTGCTCTGGGTATAGGTAGAGGATATGGGGGGGGGGGGGAATGTCAAAGACCAGGAAACAAAAGTACAAAACTAATGTAGAAGCAGGTACCAGCCTCAAGACCCAAGGGACTCCAGTCACCAAGGGAGGCTTTGATGTCTCCCTATTACTGAATGAGATAATTGAAAGACAAAGTTATAGTATATAAATGCAGGTTTATTGGGAGCAGGGGAGGGGCAGAGAGGAAGAGAGAAATGTGCATGGGGGTGAGAAGAAGAGGAGGAGAGATGCAGAGAGTGAAGAGAAGAGAAGAGAAGAGAAGAGAAGAGAAGAGAAGAGAAGAGAAGAGAAGAGAAGAGAAGAGAAGAGAAGAGAAGAAAAAAAGAGGGAAGGAGGCAGAGAGCATGGAACCAAAATGTCTGTGTTATATAGTGAAATGGGAGGGAAAGCTCCTGCCCCTGGGCTGGAGAGTTCAGGGTAGGGAGTGGTAGGAGGTGGGATATGCCAGTCATGCTCTGCAGCAGGCAAGGACCGAAGGATGTCTGAAGCCAAACACCTAATATCATTCATTCATTCACTGTCACTGAGTTCCTACCCCAGGTGGACTCTTTATGGTAGGATCTCAGAGATGAACACGAATACAGGCAACCTCAGACAGCTTCTTGTCTGGTAAGGTGTGAATGATAGAGGTTAAGGGTGGGTAAGGGATTGATGTGAAAGTAAGTCATGTCAGGCTGTGTATGTACAACTTACTGAGCATCCACAAAGTTGGGGAGGTGTGGATTTTAGCAGAGATGGCTTCTAGGAGAAGGCCACATTCAAGCTATGTAGCAAACTGAATGAAATACTGAAGGCAGCTGAGTCAGGACTTAGTGCATGCCTTCCACCTTTGGGAACCCTTAAGGGAACATGAAAGAGGGTCTCTCTCAAAGAGGGTCTCTCTCACTGTACCATGGGGAGCTTGGAAACTCCGGGAAACAGGCTTCTAACTGCAGAAGCCTTATGGTCTGTCTTGCAGCCTGAAGAGATTCCTTTTAGTGACCTCCATTTAGCTAAAGCTGGAATCTTGACTTTATGAAAGTAGGAAAGAATTTGAGGATCAGCTAATAAATAGAAATAGAGGCACTTGGGGGGCAGGGAGAAGAGCCCCAAGTGGGCACGGGATTTTCAAGGAGAGCTATGTGTGTGTATGCGCGTGCGTGCACACTCTCGTGTGTGTGTGTGTGTGTGTGTGTGTGTGTGTAATGTATATGGTATGTACATTCTCTGTATGTACATCTGCAGAAGCCATCAAACAGTTGTGAGCTGCCACGTGGGTGTGGGAGTTGAACTCAGGACCTTTGGAGGAGCTCTTAACCACTCAGCCACCTCTGCAACCCTGTTAGCGTCTTTATAGTACCTACAAATGTTGGTTTTGAAGTTCCTGAAGTCACACCTCAAAACCTAAATGAGAGCATAGGGCAGTTCCTGAGGAATGCCGATAGGACCACAGCTGATAAGGTAAAATCCCAGGTCTCAAGGGTTGCAGGGCTGGGCAATGTGTGGGGTGAGGTGGCTATTAGCAAGCCATAAGGAACAAGCCAGTAACCAGCATTGGAAACTTCATATCTTCTCCATCAGCTTCTGCCTCTGGGTTCTTTTGTAGTTTCAGTTCCTGCCTTGGCTTCCCTCAATGGACTATGACTCAGGATATGTAAGCCAAATAAACCTTTTCCTTTCTAAGTTGCTTTTGCTCATGGTGTTTCATCACAGCAATCATAACCCAAACTAAGCAGGTTTTTGTTTTGTTTTTACTGTTTGTGACATTTTCAGGAAATAGAGTCAGGCCATCCCTGAAGGTCACATAAGCTTAAGTCTTAAGCACAGTTCATTGCTATTTTAACATGCTCTATCTTAAAGGAATATTGTGTCAGCAACCTTCGGAGCTAACGTTCCTGCACTGAAATTCCTGCTCTCTGCTGGTGAGAGGCTTAGCCAGACTCCAGAGTGAAGGGTTCCCCACCTCCAACTGATCAGCATAGACTCTGCTTCCTCCTGTCCTGCCCCAGTGAGCACTGCTGAAGAACTGGAGTTCTGCCATGACACTGGATCTGCCCTAAGCAGAATGCATTGCCCAAGGGCTGTGCAGCCCCCATGCCAACAGGTAAAGCTGAGGTTGGCACCAGAGTCAGCCAAATGGAGTCAAGACAGAGAGGGAAGCTGCATGTGGTGGTGACATCCTTTGGGTCTGAGCCAATTGGTACCTGAAGCCAGATTTTCTCTGGGACTTGGCCTAACCGTTGCTTTTTGGCTTTTAGCCAACCAAACCTGGATTTCCTGTGGCTTGTTCCAACAGAATACCCACAATCTCATGGCCTATGGCAACTAGAAGACACCATGGCTCCTTGAGAGACACCATGGCTCCTGAATGCCTTTTCCTTTCTCCCTAGGAAACTCTCATCAACACAAAGGCAGGACAAAGTTGGGATTTTTCAGGTGTGCTGATGGAGAATGTGACTGCGAGAAGCCCAAATGGGGAGCCCTGATTTATGTATGTATGTATGTATGTATGTATGTATGTATGTATGTATGTATGTATGTTTTTATTTATTTATTTATGGTGTGTGCTTTTCTTGCCAATGTCAACCACCTTGGTATCACCTCAGTGGAGAGTTCCCGATGTGGTTTAGTTCAGTGGAAAGAGTTTTGTTATTTCAACACACATTTTCATTGTAGGCGGTGGGGACATTTTCTGGTTTTGTTTTGACAAATCAAAAGTAGTGATTTAAGTCAACACTAAATTAGACCATAGCTGCACACTCACTCCCTCACTATGTATGTTTCAGCCAACAAGGGCCCAGACATACAGGCCTCAGTCCACCCTACAGCCTCAGTGTGCAGGAGGCTGTATCATCCAGGTCTGTAGAGTCCGTAATATTTGCATGCTGGCAAAATTGCCTGAGAACATTTGTCTTCAAGATTAAGTGGTGCGTGACTGCTTTGGGTCTCCCTATCTCCTCAAGTGGAGACACTGACTTGATTTTTGAAAGCAGGTTGACCAGTTGTCTTTTTTAAAACACACACACACACACACACACACACACACACACACACACATACACACACACAGTCTATTCTCTATTTCAATAACATAAGAAGAGAGGAGGTCAGAACCTGACTAGCTCAGCTTCACCAATACTCTGTTTCTGCCACAGTAAAATAATAAGGGCCATTGAAGTGTGCACCTCCCATGGTCCAGCGCTGGCCTGACATGGGCCAGAGCTCTCATGGAGAGTTGCACTCAAGATTCATTAGAAATTGTTTGTCTGGGGCTCAGTGGTATATGCTAGTTGGTAGAGTACTTGTCTAGCATGCACGAAGCCCTGGGTTCAGTCTCAGAGACCACATGAATCATGGGTGATGGCACATAACTAATCTTCACACTTGAGAGGTGGGGGTAGAAAGATCAGAAGTACATGGTCATCTTTGGTTACACAGGAATTTCAAAGCCAGCCTACGCTTCATGAGACTCAGTCTTAGAAGAAACAAAACAATTAGAAATTTCTTGTCAGAACAGCTCTGGCCAAAAAACAACAGACAAACAAACTTCAAGTGTGGTCTCTTTACAAAATGATGTATTTCCAGTATATAAGTGGTCAGTCTCTCTCCCTCAGTTTCCTCATTTGTAAACATGGGGATTATAACAATAGAAGCTACTCCCCAAAAAAGATTTCAAAGATGAACCTAGGAAAGCCCAAAGCCCTAAGTCCCTGCAGAGTCACTGTCTGCCCTTACTGCCTTGCTCTCTGGAAGGCTGGCAGTAATGAGCCACAACCCTGGCCTTAATGGACTTTGGTTAGCCACAGAAGCTTGGAAACAGAGTAGAAACTGGTTCCCTCTCTTGGGGTCACCATGAGTATTGTTGGTGGAGGTTCCAACTCCTGTTGCAGTCTTTCCACAGGCCTAGGTGATGGCTTTCACCTGGGGTTGGCAGCTAGTGTGGAGCCAAGGAGCTGTGCTTGCCCATTGTGTCCCTAACACCCTCCCTCCATCTTCCATACCTTCCCAAGCTCTACTCAGGGAAAATGGGCTGGCATCTTGATCTTGGGTGTCCAGAGCTATGAGGCATAAGTGGCTGCTATTTGTGCTAGTCTCTAAAAGCTATGACAGCTGCCATAGTGATGAAACAATAGAAATACCTTCTGTGTGAGGGCAGTGGAAAGACCCTGCCCAGAAGCTCTACAGGCCAGGTGCTGAGCTGAGACCAATACAGGAATAACCTCATTTATTCAAGGAGCCCCTGGATGTCCAAAACCAAGATGCAAGCCAATTTGGCTTCGAAGCAAGAGCTCTTGTTTTGGTTTGCTGATGGCCAGGTTCTCACCATGTCCTTCCATGGCAGAAAGAAAGACAAGAAAAGAAAGTCAGGAAGTCAGGTCTTAAAGTGCAACCTTGATAATTGCTCCTTTATTCACGTTCTTAGAAACCTGAAGCAATCACTTTGCTTACATCTCATTGGCCAGACACTGAACTCATGACTGAACCTAGCCACAGCGGAGATGCTCAGAGTCTTTTGTTCATCAAGCTCTGTATGGCTATTAGAACTGCCTGGCTTGGAAAAGGAAGGAACAGTGGCTGTTTGGGGTCGGGGTGGGGGTTGGAGGGGTACTGTTTTTGTCATTTTACCAGTGAGGAAACCCACACTTCGAGAGTCAGGGGCTCAGGCATCTTGCCTAAGATGACATCAATGGCAAAGACTCGGCCAGCGCTTGGGTGAGGTCTGCTGATTCTGGCATGCATGTTCCTGGCAGGTTTGCTGAGAAGAAAAGCAGGGAGTGAAGGAAGCCAGGATGACCTATCCTGGCTGATGTTTTCCTCTTCCTATCGAGTGAGTCCAGGATTGTGTGAATCGAAGTACCACCAAGCTATGCTTGGACAGGTCCTGGGAAGCATCTCCAGGAGTTGGCCTTAAATGAACAAATAAGGCAGGTGAGTGTATATACTTGAGCATGGCTGAGCATCCCTGAAGCAAGCCAAGGGATGCTTCCCAGACAGTATCTACCCTCAGCTGAAAGACCATTGAAGCCAACTTTTTTGGCACAATGTTTCCCTGAGATAAGTACACATAACCATTTATAGGTCTCCAGAATAACATCTGCGGCCCCCATAGGAATCTCATTTTTTTTTTCTAGTAAATTTTCTGAATACACTTTTAAACCAGTTAGGCATGGTGGTACATGCCTGTAATCCTAGCACTCAGGAGGCAGAGAGAGGAGGATTTTAAGTTCAAGGATAACCTGGGCTACACAGCAAGGCCAGGTGTCATATCCCCTCCCACCAAAAATAGAGCCTCCCCCCCCCTTTCCTAATTGGCCTTTCAAAGGCTCTGAGTAATTATGCTAAACTAACACTGAAACATCTCTAACTCGGCCTCTGTGAGAGACAGATATTTTTCAAAAGCAAAATCAAGTTCTAATTCTATGTCTCCTTGACATGTTCCCTTTTAAGCCTGTGGAGGCTGCTCTGAGAATTGAAGGCTGGGGACCAGACCGTGTCACAGACCTGCACTTCACGCCTGCGTGGAGTTGCTCAGCACGCGGGCTTTCAATTAGAAGTAAATAGACAGCACTGCTGAGCGTTCTGCGCTGGGAAAGATCAGCCCGGGCCTTGGGGCTGTGGCACTTTCTTCACAGCCTTAATGTACCAGGGTTAACCTTTAAGACCTCCCACCTGGTTATGGGCTTGGTACCAGCCTGGAGCTACCTGGAGGTGTCAGGAAAGAGTCTTCTTTCCACACAGGTGGTTCTGAACTGGATTCTCCAGGGGAAGGTAAGACCCTCTGGGAACCAAGTACTGAAGTATTTGGTTTTCCTCCCTCTGTGATTATAGTTCCATTCAGAAGGAGAGTGTGTGGGAACGTGTCTTCCCTCTGACCGCCACGTTCCGAGGCGCAGGTGAAGTGGTTGAGGAGTGTGAGCTGAAGGACAGCTGCATTAGTTAAAGCCTTTCTGCCTGGACGTTGTGACTGTGTTGAGTCAGAATGTTGCAGGCTGGAGCAAAATTATCTCAGGCTATTTTTAGTTCCTTTGAAAGCCATTCATTGCCCATTCCTGCGTCTGACCTAACAGCGTGTGACTGTCAAAGCCTTTAAGATATAGTCTTGGCAGACTCCTAGCATCTATCAGTGTAAATGCTAAGAATGCCATCAGATAGCTTCTGAAACCTACAGCACAGTTAGTTGCAGTACTCTACAGCCTACCTATGGGTCCATCAACAGACTTGGTAAGTACCTTCATTTATAACTTCCATTTTTCTGTAGCTAAGGCAGTCTCATATGACCACTTGGGCTGGTTGTCCTGGGTTCTATAAGAAAGCAGGCTGTGCAAGCCACAGGAAGCAAGCCAGTAAGCAGCACCCCTCCATGGCCTCTGCATCAGCTCCTGTCTCCAAGTTCCAGGCCTTGCTTGGGTTCCTGTCCTGACTTCCTTTGGTGATGAGCAGCAATGTGGAAGTGTAAGCTGAATAAGCCCTATCCTTCTCAATTTGCCTTTTGGCCATGGTATTTCATGACAGCTATAGTAACCCTAACTAAGACAGTCTCTTATTCCCTTTGAGGTGACAGCTGTGTTTTTGCACCAATGGGATGGTGCATATCCTGAGAAGGATGTCTCCCTGTGTCATTTCTCTACATCTTGCCACCTGAAGGGATGGTCACGGCGTCACATAGATTCTTTTCCTGAGGGAGTATCTCATTGAATTGTTGCTGCGTAATATGAACTAAGGAGGAGAGCCTCATCTGTTACACCTTTTCCTGTGCTGCTGGCTGCTCAGAACTTCCATGACTGTGCAGAGCCTTCGGAGTATCATGGGTTGAGAGCCAGACTGTCTTGACTTATCTTTAGCTCCTGTAACGATCATCTATTCTCCTTGGTGTTTAAACTAAGATAATCCTATTGGCTACCTTTAAGATCCTTTAGGGGAAGTACATATTGACCTTGTGGTGGTTTGAATGATATGGCCCCTGGGCTCATATAGTTGAATGTTTGGTTCCTGGTTGGTGGAACTATTTGTGAAGGTTTGGGAGGCATGGCTTTGTTGGAGGACCTTTGTCACTGGTCACTGGTTGGAATCTGAGGTTTTACAAGCCCATACCATTTCAATTAGCCCTCTCCCTACTTCGTGCTTTCAGATCAGAGCTAAACTCTCAGCTGCTGTTCCAGCGTCACGATCCCCATCATTATGGTCATGAACTCACCTTCTGGAACCGTGAGCCCAAGTTAAATGCTTTGTATACGTTACTTTGGTCATGGTGTTTTGTCACAGCAATAGAAAAGTAACAAAGACTGCCCTGTCTCCAAAAGGTAAAATTTCACCACTGATGTTTTATTCCTTCGGCTAAATACATTACAGTGCTCCAGTTGATTGGCACTTAGTGTGAAACAGTTCATTGGATCCTTCTGTGTGTATCAAGTTGATCCCTAGGCACAGGAAAATGTGGGTTTTGTGGAAAGCTTTTAAGATGGGGGAAAGATAATGTGTATGTGAGAAGAGGGGAGGGGACAGGCTTGGGCTAGCCATGGCCAATAGGAAGAGGGGAGAAGTGAGCAGGCTAGGTCTGGACAAAAGGAAGGGCTCAGCCTATTGGGTGGTGAGAGTTGAGCCAACAGCCCTGTGACCTGTGTCTGGCACAGGGGGAAGGGCAGGGTACTTTCTGGCTCCCTTCATTATGCTGTTCACATGATTTGACTCCCCTGCCCACTGCAGGAATACTAACATCATTCAGTCTTGGGGAACAAGGATTTACCTCTCCTGGACCATGGACTTTCAGTGCCTTGCAACCTGCTCTGCCCCAAAAGTTGACAAGGGTGGGTTACCCATCATGTTTTCCTTGTCTAAGCTAAGAACATGCCCACTCCATGGTGTGATTAAGAGAACAGTTTTTATTGTAGATAGGAGAGAGAGAGAGAGAGAGAGAGAGAGAGAGAACAGCCAGAGGCACCTGAAAGAGGCTGGAGTAGAGAGAAAGAAAGAAATGAATAGACTGAACATGGCCAGCAGACTGGACCTGGCCATGAGAGAACCAGGCGATCAGAGAAAGAGGGAGACTGAGAAGAAGACAAACAGGGAGTGGACCAAAGAGCATGCAAGGGGAGGGGAGCATAGCTGAAACTGAAGGGTTATGAGAAGAATGAATAGCTGAGGGGAGGGACGGAAGCCAGTGAGCTGGAGAAGTTTAGGTTAGGGGAAAGTGAGAAGAGCTAGGATGTCAACATGAACCCTGGAATGTGTAGCAGTACTTTCTATACTGAGGGAGCATGAAGGCAAGCATGAATTTTTTATGCTAATAGGTACCATAGACAACTATTTGTCCCTTATGCCAGTGATAAGGGGAATGGCTCCCTTTGGTAGAGGGCATCCAGCTTCTCAAATTCCTGAGGAGTGCTGGTTTTTGTGTAACAGCCAGGATCTGGGAAATGAAGTCTCCTTTGGACCTGATAGCCCTGTCCAGCATGGTGCCACACTTTCCCAGTAGAGATGACCCTTCTCCCAGGAGGCTTTGGCGGACAGGCCCAGCTTGTCCCAAGAGATAAGACACAGAGCCCTGACCTGTTAGAACCTGCATCCTGACAGGATGCATTAAGTGGGACACCTCATTTGGTGGCCAGGAGAGTGACTCGGGGGCAAATGCCTTGCTCTCTCAGATAGCAGAACTTTGGCTACAAATCAACTGTCTACACAGAAATGTCCCACAGCCCCCTTAAAATGGTACATAGCTACACTTTGAGAGGCTGAGGCAAGAGAATTTAGGGTCATCCTTGGCTACATAGAGAGTTCAAGGCCACCTGGGCTACATGAGACCCTGACTAAAAAAAAAAAAGAAAAGTTATTTTTGTACCAATAAACTAGTCAGCCATGTAGCCTTTATTGAAGGGCTTTTGTGTTTTCAGGGGGGTTTTACCTTTGAGTTCCTATATCTAATACCTAAGCTCCATTTTTTGCTTCTGAGAACTGTAATTTTTAATAAACAATCTGTGCCCACCATGGAAGAAAAAGTCTGAGGTGGGGAGGTGAAGACTTTGCAGGCCATGAAAACTTGCTTATAAATAATTCTGCTAGGTGCCCTTTGTCCATCTGTCTGTCTGTCAGTGTTCCACAAATCTATTTCTGATGAGCTGCTCATGGTTTCTGTTGAGGACAGAACCTATAACTCATTTATGAAATCCCTCTTCTTGGACATGCAGGGTGTGGCTTTACAGGCACCAGAGAAGATCTCTATGGGATGAATGCCAGTTGTTTGCAGGGGCGTGGCTGGTAACTCACCCTCCTGAGCCCCTGTGCCTGTGCCTGTGGCCTGTCTTGTCTCTCTGCTTACTCATGCAGGGTTCTGTCACCTCCCAAATGAACCGTTTGCTTGCCTTCCTTCTCCATCTCTCCCTCTCTCCCACCACCCTCTATTCCCCTTCCCTCCCTCCCAGCCCCTTTTCTTCCATTTATCTCTCCTTCCCTCTCTTTCCCTTCTCCCTCCCCTGACCCTTTCCTCCCTCCTCCTCTTCCCATGAAGACCATAGTAGGATCGGCTCTAGCCTGGTGGATTTATGATCCTTAACCTTTCAGGGTCTATGTCTCTACCTAGGAAGTGGAGATGTGCTAGGGTCACCTCATGGGGGTTTGTGAGAACTGGATGAATTTGTTAATACCTGTGCAGTATTTAAGAGGACCCTTGGCTCAGAGTAACCTTTTAAAACTGGTTTGCTTGGGGCTGGAGAGAGAGCTGAGTGGTTAAAACACTGTTGCTCTTGCAGAAGCCCCTGGTTTGGCTCCCAGCACCTGCTCAGCAGCTCATAATCCTTTGTAATTCCAGTTCCAGGAGACCCACCCTCTTCTGATTTCTGCGGGTACCACAGAAATAGGTAAATAAGTAGATTTTTAAACCAAACAAAAGCAAACAAACAAGATCAAAAAAACCAAACCTCTCTTTGCTCTTACCACGAATTCGCTTAGGAATAAACAAAGACCCCTTGCATGCAAGTCCATGAGACAGAGACAGCTGAGGCTGCATCTGGACACCTGCCTCCAGGTGGAAGCCACAGGGTCTACCACTTTCTTTAGGTATTGAAAAGGGACTCCATGTCAGGCAAGAAAAGGGTACACCACAAGAAGCTGCCATGGTCAAAGGAAGGACGTGCTGTCTCCACCTAAGGCATGGAACAGGGGATGAAAGAGGCAGCTTCTGGTGGCTGAGGACCTGGCCATCTAGGTGTGATGAGGCAAGAGCTATAGGTGACACAGGTGTCAGGATGGCCTGGGCTCTGTGTGGGTATCTGTGGAAGGTTCTGGTCATGTGGTATGGACAGGGGAGGAGCCGAAAGGGGCACCAGGTAGGTTCTGGGTGTTGGCAGGCCACAGGCCTCACTACCAGCTGCCTTCCTTCCCCATAGCAATGCCATTACTCGTCTCAGAGTCTGGGCTCCAGAGCCACAGGCCTTCCTTGCCACCAGCCAGCACTGCCACTTGGATTGTTTGGAGGTGTCATAGCCCTTCGTCTATTCTTTTCAGTGTGGCTGGTGCTCCTCTGCTCATCCAGTGGGTGTCTTAGGTCCCTCTCTTTGAGTCCAAATGGTGTTTGCCATGGCTCAGACCAAAGGACCATGGCTGAGTGATGGTATGGGTCCCAAGGTTTGTCATAGGAAGAGTTGGGTCTGTTGAGGGCACCTGCCTTGGGGAAGCCAGGTGCTGTGTTAGAAGGAAGCTGAGGCTTATGGAGAAGAGTATATATTGACTTTTAGCTCTTAGCTTCTACCAGGCTCTAAGACATGACTCACCTGATGTCTGAGAGAGGTTACCTAGATCACAAGAGTGAGCCAATAAGCATGGAGAAAAGCTCAGAAACTTAGGACTCTACTTGACTAGGGCCATGTACATACCCCTCACTGAACAATGTACCTAACAACCTGTTAGCAGCCTAAGACTCCTACCAGCTTCAAGCCCCCGTACACCTGCTTTAAATGATGGAAATAGTTGCCCTCCTTAGCATACCCATGATAGAGCCCCACTTCTATCCAAACACACCCTGGAGCACCATCCAGAAACTGTGGGCAAGGGGGGGTTTGGTGCATACACAATAAAGCAAAACCGCATCTGCAAGTAAACATTTAAGGAGAATTCCGTATTTACCGTATTTACCATCTTACACCTGTGCATACTTGGGCATGCATATGATTAAAATCAGATGCATTATGGGAAGGGACATGTCCAGAGTAACGATTATATGGCTTAATCTGTTAATCAAAATAGAGAACCACCCAGATTCCATCCCTTAGTAATCTGGGCCCCTGCCAACCTGCACCATTTCTTTGCTTCAAATATAGCTTCCTTGCTACTTTTACAAACCTGTGTGGCTTTTACTTGATTCTGAATAAAACACCAAGAACTGGGAAACACTAGGTCTAGACAGTGACCCCAACCACTTACTACTGGTGACAATAGCTCTGAGTGAGTGCTGTGTAGCAGTAAATCTCTTTTGTCTTTTTACTACAAGTGTGTGGGCAAAGCTGTAGGTGTTCCAGTCACAAAAGCCTTACCCAGGATTGACAACTGTCTTAGCTACTTCGCTATTGCTCTTCTAAGGCAACTTATAGGAAAAAAAACAAAACAAAACAAAAAAAAAAAAAACAAAAAACAAAAAACAAAAAAAAGAACACAAAACTTTATTTGGAACTTACAGGTTTTTTAGAATTCATGATAACCATGGTGGGGATTATGGCAGCAGGCAGGCATGACACTGGAGTGGTAGGCGAGAGTTCACATCTTGATCCACATGAAAAGAGAAAAAGTCAAAGAGAAAGCTAATTGAGAATGCCATGGGGTTTTGAAATGTCAAAGCACAACCCCAGCGATGCACCTCCTAATCTGACGATGCCACGCCTCCTAATCCTTCCCAAACAGTTCTACCACCTAGAGACCAGACATTCAAATATATGATTCTATGGGGGTCACTATCATCCAAATTACTCCACATTTCGTTGGCTAGTGACACAGATCTGACCCGTTGGAAGGACACAGGTGAGCGTGGCACTACTGTGCTTCAGGTCACCCAGAGCCACAGGGGATCTCTCCGTGTTGAGCAGAGAACATGGAGTGTGAGGGCTGGTATGTGGCGTCTTGTGCCTTCGCTGCAGTATCAGCATATGGTAGGCTCCTGCCTCAGACAGGAGGCATAGTACAATCTGATGGGCAGGCGTGTGCACTGAGACGGGGTGCTGGGCATCCCCAAGACAGGCTTTCAGCGAAGCCTCAGGGTGTCAGAAGAGGGTGGCTGGGAAGGCAGGTCCAAGAGGAGGGGGCTATGCAAAGGGAAGCTGCAGGGAAACAGCACATCCTTTCTGGGGACTCGGATCTGAGGGCAGGGAGAACACAGAATGCAGAGTTCAAGGAATCCAGTGAACTTTGGGTCTGTGCTTTTCAAAATATCACCACTGCAAAAGAAACTGTTGCAAAGAAGAAGAGACAGCAAAAGTGCTCACTTAAATAAACTCTTGATGTGGGCTGGCCCTCCTTCAAAAAGCCTTGGGCCAGGTGGCAACATTTGAATGTGGACTGGGTATTACGAGTAATGTGTAATGTATTGTACATGGTTCTAGTTTCTCTCATGTTAGAAAACATCCTTTAATGAAATTCATAATGAGCTATAAGCAACAAAGTGCTCTGACTTTCATCATGACCTGCCAAAAGTTTTGGGTAAAGGCGGGCTTTGTTTAGACATCAACAAAACAAAGAGAGCAGAATGCGAATTGGTGAGTTCTCCTGAAAGACCATCTTAGGACCCTTCTCTGCAGCTAAAACTGTTTCATAAATATTTAATAAAAGTTTTTTTTGTTTTTTTAATGAACAGAAATAAGAAAGTGTAGTCTAAGAGAGGCAGGGAGGGGTGAAAGGAGATCTAGAATTTTTTGTTTTGTTGGAAGAGTCAAGGAGTTGTAGAGAGGCTAAGTGGCCAGGCAAAGGTTGGTGAGGAGCATGGGCTCTGTGCCCCGACTGTGGCTGTTCAAGTTGATGGTGCTACCGGAAGGGAATGTGTGGGTTGATGGATGGCCTCTAAAGAGAAGCTCCCGCTGCCCTGAAGGCTGTGTCCACAGAGCGCCTGTGATCTCACGCTGCCTTTAATGTGAGCTATGCCTCAAAGTCCTGAAATATGCCCCAAGTGTTTGTAAAGGTTGATAGCATCTTTGGGACCTCTTCCTACCGTGAACAGAAGCTGTAAAGTTTCAATTGTGCAGCTCGTGAGACCCAAGTGTCTTTTCTGAAGTGCCATAAAAAGGCTACATCTGATGTCTGACGTCAAACAAGCCTCCGCTAAGGATCTGTGGATGTCCGTGACAGAAATGCCGCTGTTTCTTAGATGGGTGGTTAGAAGCAAAGCTTTCTCCTTCTGAGAGAGAGTGACACATTAAAATCAGAGAGATGGGGGCCACCTGCGGGACCCACACTTAGAGAGGGGCCAAGGCTGAGGAAGGAGCTCAGTGTTAGAGCATTTACCCCGAATACGTGTGGCCCTGGATTCTATCCCCAGCACGGGTGTACACACACATACACAGAGAGAGAAAGAGGGGAGGGAGGGAGAAGGGGAAAGACAGGGGGAGAGAGAGAGAGAGAGAGAGGCTCCAAGGTATCACATATGGTGGCACATTCCTGCTATCCCATCACTTGGGAGGCTGAGACAGGAGGACTACAAGTCCAAGGCCAGCCTGAGCTCCATGGGCGGGAAGTACTTGTGAAAGCTGATGGAGGTAGATAAAGCATGTCTGTGCTGGAATATTCCATTTCAGAGAAATAAGCGCGCATGTCCCCCCAAGTTCGTGCCTGATTTCACATCAGCTTTAGGAAGAGCAAAAAAAACAGAGGCAATCCACACGCCTGTCCACCTAGAACAGACAAATGGATTATACACACATGTAAAGTACCTCTGAGCAATAGAAAAAAAAAAGCACAAAACTCTAGAAACCTGGGAGTGACAGTGAACACCTGAAAAATCAGGACTCAGAGAATGATGCGTTCAAGATAAGCCCGAGCTACAGAAAGAGACCTTATTTCAAATATCAGTCAATCAGGCCCGGCACAGTCTTTAATCACAGTATTTAGGAGACAGAGGCAGGTTAGGATTACATGAGGACAATCTGAGCATTAAGCAGCATGTGGATTAGACATTAATAGAAAACTGGAAGAGGCCAGGCAGATGTCCTCTTGTGCCCAAGAAGGGACAGCTTGGCTACGGGGATGTTTCCCCAGCTCTGCTCCATTTTCTGGTTTGGGGGCTTCTTGGAGACTGGAGGTGAAGGCAGGCCTAGGCAGCTACTTCCTTCAGACTGCCCAAACCTCTGGTCTGGCTTCTGCAGGAAGGCACGTCCCTCAGGCTGTGGGGCTGAGGAGGTACTTTCTGCAAGAACTAAATTGACTCACCATAGAGGGGGAAATGCGTATTTGGTTTTGTGTTGTTTGCAGGGTAACTAGCCTGGTCCAGGTACAGGGTAGGGTGGGTTATGGGGAGCTCATGAGTTTGGGGATGCAAAAGCCTTTCGATTGGAGTCGAGTCGAGCCTGGGCTGTCCAAACCCCAAGTCTTGTTTGATTCAGTTCTAAAATGGGATGTTTGTGTTGAGCAGGTGCCAGGCACCAGACAATGTAGTAATGGCTCAAAAATAACCACACTGGGGAGTAAAGGCCTTGCCATGAGCAGATAGGGAAGAGATGCTGAGAGGGATACCCTATAGACGCTGGGCTGGAGTAGAGGAAGAGGGAGGATGAAATGGGGGCAGGCAGGAAAGAGAAACAAGAGGAAGGACCTTGGACAGGCCACAAAGGAAGTCCTCCAAAGGGTGTATCATGAGGTTGAGCCATAACCTTCACATACATGTGCACTTATGAGCACACACAAGCATGCGCTTGTACACACACACACACACACACACACACACACACACACACGCACACACACACACACCTTCTTGGGCCCAGAGCAGAGACACTGCTCTGCCTGTATGGAAGAGATCGGTCAGTGTCTCCACTAGAATTGCATAAAAGTGACCCACCATGATACAAGAGCTGTCAGCGAGCATGAGCTGGGTGAGCCCATGCTGGGAGGACACTCAGCACCTTTCAAAGTCACCACCAGGAGATGAGCAGTGACAGCTTTCAAGCCACTTCCCCACCGTGTCAGCTGGCTGCGGGCAGGTCTGCAGGTCCTGGGCTGAGCTCTCAGGGCAAAACAAAAACAGAGAAGAGCAAACACTCCCCCACCCCCCACCCCTGTAGCTCTCACTTTAAAGGGACTGAGGTAGTTTGTTCTGGAGCCATTTTGGGTTACCAATGCCTGAGAACATGGGTTTAGGTTACCCCAAATTCCATCTTCCAATGTGGAGGCAACTGCATGAAGTTTTATGGAAGGAAGAAAGTCATAAATCAAGGCAGGTTTAAAATACATGGGTGGCTACATCAGAGAGACTGCTGCAGTGAAATGGAGGCAGCTTTTCTACAGGGACAGGATGCTATCTGATGGCATTATTAAGTTTCCAGGTGAGTGGAAGCTAGTGGTCTGCTAAGTAAACAGATTCCACAAGGCTTATTTATCTACCAGTCACAGGATGTTAGTTCAGACACAGAGATGTGCAGGGAATGGCTTTTCAGAAAGATAAAGGCAGCCCAAGATAAGACGATTAGCCTCTGGACCCAAAATGTTCCAGGTTCTCCTCTGGACCTGCAACATTCCAACCTCTCCACACCACTTTGTTTTAACCAGCCGATCAGTCTTTGCAGACCCAGCAAAGACGTTCTTTCCAAAACATCTCCGTGACACGACCAAGAGATAAGCAGAGCCCAACAAGCCACTTACCCAAGCCTTCTCAGCTGGCCACAGGCAGGTACGTGCAGAGCCCTGTGTCCTGCCTGGTAACTGCGAGCATGGACATGTCTCCCTCGGGAAGCCCCTCATCAGCCCACAGCCCTACCTAATGGCAGGCAGTCGTCACTTGTTGCCCTTTCAGCTCTTGCACGTGGGGCAGTCTGAGATGGATAGGAAACTGATGGGGGAGTGGAAAAGCAGGCTGCCGTTGGGGAGGGGCGCACCATGGAGAGAGGCAGCTTGGACAACTATGTAGAAGAGAAAAGCAGAATGCTGGTAACTGAGAGCCTGGGAGCAGTTAAATATTAATAGAGAACAGAAGGCCAGTAGTAAGGAGAGCTGGGAAGAGAGGGTGGGGCCAGAACTTAAAAGCCTGCAGGAGGGCAGGAAGGCTTCGGTCTGAGCTTGGTAGAGATGTGACCTTGCCTTGGAAATCTGTTCTGGTTGCAGCTACTGTCCTAAGCACCAAACACAAATGCCAATCCAATCACCAAAGCCTGTGTGAAGGCAAAGGCAAAATGGCCTCAGGGGCTTGGGGAAGAGAGAAGAGGAGTCCCTGAGCTCTTCAGCTGTTCTCTTCAAGTCTGAGGTGTCCTAGCTGTCTATACCCCTGCAGCATCCAAAACCTGCCTCCCTAGAGTTGGGGATGAGCCACTGAAAACTTGCTGGCAAAGCTGGGACATGTGTCCAGGTTTCTCTCATGCTCCCAACTCCCAAAGGGGGCGCCCCAGCATGACTGTTCCCCTTCTCCCATCCCTCTATAGCTTCTGCCATGGCTCAGATATTGCAAGCTTAATACCACATACATTCATGGTGTCTGGAGGTGGAGCCCGTAGGAGATATTTGAGATTCGAGGAGGTTATCAGGATGGGGTCCTCACATATATTAGTGGCATTTTAAGAAGAGGGCCAGGGTTCCAAGTTGGCATGTTTGGTCTGTCTCCATGCGACATTCACCTCCATATTATGATGTAGCGTGAGGCTTTCACCAGATGCTGTCTTCACGCCCTTGGGCTGTCTGGCCTCTAGAATCATGGACTCCAAACCCTCTGTTGTTTATAAGCTACTCAGTTTCAGAGGTTTTCTTACAGCAACAAAAAAGAGATTCAGACAGCCTCCGGGATCTCTTTTGTAACCTGGGAAGAGTGAAGTTGACCTTTACTGCTGACTTGAGACAATCAAATGAAATTTCATGAGTCAAGTATCAGGGAGGAAGTTGATCCATAGAGCACACTCAGCTAATGTAGACTGAGGTTAATTATCATGCTTGCTGTTCTGGGAGGGTGGCTCAGTGGTAGAGCACTTGCCTGGCATATACGAAGCCTTGAGTTCAATCCCCAGCACTACAAAAAAATTAGAAGTCTCATGTTTGTTTCAGTGTGCTCACCCCATCCTGAGCCTTCTCTTGGAGTAGTAGATACAGGATGAATGAGCTCTTGGTGTCAAGCATCTAATGATCAGGTCATTCTGCCCAGTGTGCACACTCAGCCCCATAATCTCTGGCAGCCAGTGATATTAATTAATAGCTAGCATTTCTTGAGGTCTCACCAGGCTGCAAATGAGATTTCTCCTCTAACCCTCATAAAGGCCCTGGGTGCCGGAACATTTCACATTTGAGGAAATGGAGACTCGGGGCCAGTAATGTGGCCAAGCTAAGAAGCCAGGAAGGGCACAGGCTCAAAACTGAACATTTCAGAATGCTTTCCGAGACTACTGCCTGGCACTGCCTCGTGAAAGGTGGGTCCTAGCAAGGGAAAGGATGGAAACATGCAACACTGCCCATGTTCCTCAGATCAACCTTCCCTTGTCTTTGCTCAGGCAATGTCCCTTCCATTAGAAGGCTGGTGGTTTTCTTCTCCTACTAAATCCTAGTGTGAAAGAAACAAAGAAAGGATCCTTTGATTCCCAAAAGTCCTTGTATAATCCAGCACCTTGTTCCATGGCTTTAAAAGGCTCTTGAGCTCACAGTACAAAATGAGCTCAGTGAGGACAGGGCCTGCTTCCTCCCTCCACTTCTGTGCTTACCACAGCACTCAAGCATAGCAAACGCTCAATAAATATTTATTAAGTGTCTGGGTGCAGGCCCCACTTCACACAGTCACTAGGGCCCAGAGTCTGTCAGGGGATGTGATAATGCTGTGTCTCTAATTTTTCCTAAAAACAGCAAAACAGCCAAAGGAAAATGGAAAATACGTAGTTGTGAATCCAGACTATCATACTGATATAGTCATAAGATGTAAATTTATTCAGCTGAGAAGTGGCCCATGGGAATTCTAACAGTCCTGAATGAGAGGGGATTACATGGAGAGGCCTGGAGTCTGGGGAAGGGTGGACTTAGTCAAGGTCGTTTCCTTCCATCTGTGCTGTAGGAATGCAAGCGCAGAGGCTGGGGAGCCAGCTCAGTGGATAAGTCAGTGCTTGCCAGAAAGCACTAGTACCAGAGTTGGATCCATGGCACCTACACCAAAATCCAGGTGTGCATGGTGGGCCTGTGATCCCAACACTTAGGAGCTAGAGGCAGGAGATCCCCAAAGCAAACTGGCTAGCTAGGTTACCTAACCCATGAGCTCTGGATTGAGGAGAGACCATGGAAAGGGATTAGACATCCAGTGTAAACCTCTGGCCTCCACACATACGCATACACATTTGCATACAGCCATGGTTACTGAACTTGAGGGTCACAGTTGTACCCCAAGCCAGGAACAGCCACCAGTCCTCAATGAGCCAAATAAAAGAACCAAACTGAAAGAAGAAAGCAGAAAAAGATTTATCCAATGTAGCCACATTGGGAAGAGGGACAAAGAGATCCACTGAACTCCCAAGACCCTCTTCCAGGTATGAGGCAAGGTTAAATTTTAAATAGAAAGTCAAGGGTTTGTGCGTCTAAGTAGTTCCAGAAAGGTGTGGTCCTGCCCACTGTGGACCTACTCCTGTCTGGGCTTCAGTATCTTCCTATTAGGTGATCTGAAAAGTTGTTAGAACCATGTGGAATCTCCTTCAGGAAGACAAGTTTTCTCCTCTGTCTGGGGCCTTCTCTTTCTCCCATCACAAGATTTCTGGAGAAATTTCCATTCCTCTGGAGCCCATTGCTTCATTAGTCTGACAGACAAATGTCCCTTTAGAATATCTTCCTTTTTGCCAGGCCTGTTACAAGAATGAGGGGGCTAGAGTGGTGGCTCAGTGGTTAAGAACACTAATGTTCTTTCATAGAACACACACATTCCTTCGTAACCGCAGTTCTAGAATGTCAGACGCCCTCTTCTGGCCTCTGTAGGAACTGCATGCACATGGTGCACATACATGCATGCAAACAAAACACCCATACACATAAACAAATTTATTTATAAAAAAATAATATAAATATAATACACACATAGATAAAAAAAAACTGTCTCAAAAAAAAAAAAAGAACAGAACAGAAGTGCAAATAACTGGAAAAAGATGAACATTCCCATAATTTGTGTCACCACATGACACAGCAACCCCACCTTTCATGTCATCACTCTGTCAAGCACCAAGGACCTTCCTGGTATGGCTACATCGAGGACAGCCAATAGGAAGGAGCTCCTTGGGGCACATGGTTGTTGGGCAGAAATAGCTGTGTCCAAGGTATGCAAGCACCAAGGTATGAGAAGTGGCCAACTGGCTGGATTATAGGAAAGAATGGGCGGATCACACAGAGAGGAGGAGACATAGAAGACAGGCATGGGCAGATTTCTGAGTTGTGGGAAACCCAAGATGGAGCTCGTGGCCCAGTGTGGTGGGGACACTTTGGATCCTGCAATCACTAACCTCTAGCCCCACCTGTGCTCCTCCATAAGCAGCACCTGCTGTTTGAAAGCCCTGGGGAAGTGGTTTATATGAGGTTCCTCACTTGCCCCCTCAGCTGCCTCCAAGAGGTGGTGAGATCTGCGTCCTTTTCCCCAAATAGGAAATGTCACTCTTGGGGTCCCACAGCTTGTGAGTGGGAGAGGCAGATCTCACACCTAACCTGGACTCCAAAAATCTGCATTTTATCAAGAAAGCCATCCTGCCTTGCTAGGTCCTAAATCGCCCCACCCCCCCCACCCCTCGCAGACTCGAGGTCCCGAGATCAGTTTCTTGGGCTTCCCCCAAGATCCTCAACTTCCAGTAGAGCACATGCTATTGCACCCTGTGCTGACCTTCCCCATGACTGGTGGTCCTCTGAGTGTCCCCTTTTTGTCTGCAAGGCCACCAATAACCATGAGGAAACCAAGGACAATGTAAGGCAGCCAGCAGGAACAGGAGATGCGCAGAGAGGCCCGAGAAAGCTGTGTTTGCCACGGCTCATCACCAGCTCATGAGAAAGAGCTATGAGCAGGGGAAGTCTGTGACCAAGGTGGCCCTTCCTTTCCCCCAGAGGCCAAGAGCCTCAGCAGGAAGCAGCCACAGGAAGGCAGAAGTGAAGATGCTTTCTCTGAGGGCTTCCCCAGCACTGGCCTCGGAGACAAAGGAGGCTGTTTCTACGACCACAGAAAGAAGTTGGACTTTGGGAATAGACACGGTAGATTGGGAGTGGAAACACTAGAAAGCCTATTTTAGGAGATTAGATCCCCTCAGAGGGGACTTGAGGGGTTGGGGACCCCTTCATGATTCTGCTCAGACGAGCACCCTGAATGCCTGGGTGACCAAATGACAAAGCAGAATGGCTTCTCTCTGTCCCATGTTCTCAAATAGAAAAGCTCACAGCTATCTCCCAGCTGCCCAGATCGGTGCTGCATTAGGCAGGCTCCCTTGCAGTTGGAGTGTGCTGCTGAGCCCATTTCCTACACTGGGGACCCTGCTGGGCTCAATTATTGGCTGAGGGCAGCCATGGTCACAGGATGCTGGCGGATGTGGTCCGTTAGCCACTTAGCTCCCCAAGGCAGGCTATTTGGAGTGGCTGGTTTTCAAAGCTGCTGTGTGGTTGCTCCCCATGTCCCCCTCCTGTCCACACAACCTCTCCCCTAGGCCCAGGTCCAGGGCCTCACCCCACTGGGGAAATGCTGGGAGAAGCATTTCCATTTTTCTATCATGCCCTTTAATGTGCCTCACTGGTTCTTGTTTTGTTCGAGACAGGGTTTCAGTATGTAGATATGACTAGTCCAGAATTTTGCTTTGTAAACCAGGCTGGCCTCATACTCGTGCAGAGATCTGCCTGCCTCTGCCTCCTGAGTGCTAGAATTAAAGGCATGCATCACCATGCTCGGCCTCTGGTTCTGCCTAGATCTCTTGCTCCCT